ATACCTATTTGAGCGCGGGGCCCTCCAATCCGCGGGGCCCGTAGCATTTGCTACTCTTGCTACGTGGCTAATCCGGCACTGGAGCTTTACCTAACTGTGTAAAAAATATTGTAGATCTTCACCACACTTGGAGAGAGTTGCAAAAAAATTCGAAAAAGTTGAATGATATTCATAGGCGCCGTGAAGCGGACTTTCAGGACTGTTTAGATAATTTGTTCGACATAGCACACGCTGATGCTTTGCAGCTGATGAAGATAGAAGAAGATAAAATATTTTTACAAAAGCAAAGAGAACCAGGGCGCCCAGGATGCTTAGCGGGTGTCAATAAAAAGTTGGCTGAAAAAGAAGAAAGGTCAAGACAAAGAAAGTTAATAGAAGAGAAAAGAAGACAAGAACAAATTCGTTCAAATAATTTATCGTCATCGCATACTACAGAAAGTTTTGTGCATACACAAGAAAATTCGATATCCCGATGTTCAAAAAGTTTAGAGACCTGGAAGAACATTGATCGTACTGCTATTGAAATTAACACCGACTTCATAAAACAACATTTCAGTAATACAATAATACAGGAACTGCTGACATTTTATAATCAAGAACTACAAAAATCTATTGAGCGTGCTGATTATCGGGAGCTGATTGAACTATCTATTGTCTTTTTAGGAGATATTGCGAAGAAAATTAAAATCAGACCTCCTGGAGCGATGCACCAAGCAAGGTGGATGACAAGAGCTATTTATACGCTGAAAATATTCTTATTGCAATCGCAATTGAAATTAACCGCTAATTATAAACGAGCACTTCTAGACATTTGTTTATTCATTGCAATTTTATACGTAAAACCATGGCTTCAATGTAGTTTGGCGGTGAAGGCACCAAATCAAGATTTGTGCATTTTAAAGAGGCTTAAGGAAAATGAAACTGTCGACATATTGATTTCTAAAGCAGCCCTCAGCAAGTTTAACCAACATCTTTGGTATTTGTCTGAAGAAATAGTCATTCTATCACTCTTTCACGAAGAAGTTGATGAACCAACCAACCAAGGCAAATATCAAAATAAACTAGCAAAGAGAGAGTTTATCTGATTCTAAGAGGAGATACGTTCCGTCAAAAGAAGATATGTCTCATTATTTGTATGAAAAATCATTGAGCGATTTTGTATCAATCAAGAGCACTAATTTATTTTCACGGCTAAAAATCGATAAGAAATTCCTTTAGAAACCAATTTCTACGTGGGAAGAAGATGTTTCCTATTTAGAGGCAAAAAGTAAAGTTCTAGCTTTAAAAGCAGTTAATGATACCGCTGAAAGAGCTGTTAAACTAATGCATGATTTTCATAGTTTAATTACCGCAAATGAAGAACAAAATCGATATTTGCTACGCTGCGTGCAAGAGCACAGAAATATGTATCCAAATTGTAGAAAAGAGACTCTCAAGAGAAAATATGCGTACTAATTATTTGCAACTTTGTGACCTTATGTTTGTAACTTTGTCTTCTTGAAATAAATAAACATTTAAAATAACTTTACTTTTGATTAATTATAAATTTAAAAAATATATATTTTAATTGATTTAGCTACACAATACCATATTTGTTTAAAAACTGAAATTTCAAAACTTTGACACGCTGTCGGCACGGGTTAATGTGGTAGTAGGAAGATAAAATTTTGTATTAAGATTAGTCTAGGTAGACGTAAAAAAGTTAGAGGGTATGCGTTCCGATTTTCGAAAAAAAAATTTTTTCGCCCATATAAGGGACACCCTAATGTACATTCATAATACATTTCGAAAAGTGCGTTCAAGAATATTGTGGTGTATTCTTTCGCCAAATTACATACCTGACATCTCGCGTATTTTTTGTGAAGTACTTCATCAGCTATTGACTAAAACTCAATGAGACATTTGTATATTAAAATAATTACTTTAATTTTTATAAAACACTGTCTCAACTTAGAATGATCATTTTACAATATTTTTTATAAAATTATTACAAATTATTTCCAGTTTTTATTTACTCAGATCCCATCAATAGTTTGTCCTTCGTTAAAAATACAAGCATTCATAATTATATAATAAACAGTTTTAATTTTATGCGTCAACAAACATGATAAATCGTAATTGCAAGATCATCTTTTGCGATTTCCCAAAAAAAGACTTTTTTGAGTTAAGTCAGTATTCTATTAAGCATGCGATATGTTTATCAGATTACTTGTTTTGTTCTAGGGCAAGCATACAACCAATTTAAAAAATCACATTTCCTCGAAACATGTGCAAGAATACCTATTTATAACTAATATAAATAAGGAAAACCAACAGCACCAACCAAGTACATCTCGACAGTCTACTACTTCAGAACAAGTTATGAACCACTGTGTCTTAGTAACAGTACATGGGCGACCTCTTGCATTGATACAAGACAAAGCTTTTCAAGATATAATTAACTAGCGACCTGCCCATACCATATACCATCGCGGACTTTTTTGTTGAACTTTAGGTGGTCAATACTGTAGTACATTATTTTGGTTTATCTCGTCGGGTACAGTAAGCGTTTGCAATATAAGCGCAAAAAAACGTACTGATTTACGACATCACATTAGAAAACTCTAAATTTATCAGTGTTTCTCTACTATTTTATGCATGTATTATATATAAACCTTCCTTAAGAATCATTCTATCTTTTTTTGAATGAATGAATGAATGAATGAAGCGTTTATTCAAGGTAAGAAACATAGTTGGAAAAATACAATATTACTTCTGCCAAACTGCAAAACAGTTTGTTGGCAGATGTAGCTCCCTTAAATAATACAACTATATAAAATTACTAAAAAAAAGAACCTTTGACATTCTAATTCACACATAATAGTTTTC